TTAATATGTATTAAATCTACTGATTGAACTTATTGAAAAAACAACAACAAGAGAGTAACAGTTGTATTGGTTATTACTAGTCGGTAGTATATTCTCAGAGTCGTATATTCAGGTCGAATTGATTATTCTTAGAGCAATGGGTTGGGTCTGCTGAATAACAGGAGATTCGACAACCGTGATGTCAGAAAAACACGTAGGTTCAATAAGTCTTGACACAAAATGATAAAAGCCCTATAACCTGAGCATTTTCGAAAGATGGTACTTTCTTCTTCAGGGACAAACTGGGAGCGCTTCTAACAACACTCTTTCGAATCCTCTTCTTTGTCTTAAAAAATACTATAACATTAAGCAGTCTACCACAAACTCCCAAAATCCCTTTATCTCACAATGAACAGCCTAAAAACAAATTAAAAACACTTCATCCTCTAATACGCATAAGCCTTCTCAAACTAACATATCTGTTCAAAATAACAGTGACCTCATAAAGCGTACAGATAACGATGAACACTTCCCACATATCTCTAACATTATTAATCTTTCAGACATAACTCTCTCTGAAGCAGATCTCAGCCTTCTTCGTAAAGGTTTCAACTTCTGCCCAAATAACAGCTATGTTAATGGGCCCGAACGTCTTTCTGACCTTCATGAATTCTCTAGAAAACTAAGTCTCACGAATTTTTTCACAACAAACTCCACCCTACTGAAAATCAACATACACCGAACTTTAACGAAAGGTCATTATGAACACCTCCACCAAACAGAGAACTACATTTAGAGAGTTATATTAAAGCAGTAGAAAAATGACATCATACAGACCTTAAAATCTTCCAAGCAATGTCCTAATAATATTAACCAAAATGAAAGAAGTGCTTTAAACAATCTTAAATCGAACAACAATATCATAACAAAGCCAGCAGACAAGGATGGAGCTATTGTTATTCTTAACAATGATGACGATATCACGGAAACTAACCGATAACTAGAGGACACTAATTTCTATAAAAAATTCTCACATGATCCTACAACTCACTTTATTAAGACCACAACTGATAAGCTTAAAGAACTCCTCCAAAACATTAAAACTAATAAAGAAACCTTTCAGTATTTGATACCCAGACAAGCTTTTCTTGGTAGATTATATATCTTACACAAAATACACAAACAATACAATCCTGGGCGATCCAAAATTTCGAATATAAACATGGCTACTGAAAATCTGTCCGCTTTTGTTGACCAACACATAAAACGTATTCCATGTACCATCCCCACTTACATAAAGGATACTACTCACTTTCTTAACATCATAGAAAATATTAATACTAACGGACAGTTACCACCCAACAGTCTTCTTTGCACGATGGATGCTTCTTCCCTTTACACCAATATTCCACATAGTGAAGGACTACAAACTCTAACGTCCGCATTAATTCCTTCTAAACAATCAGAATCTCAAACAGTAACTGATCTTGCCAGCCTGGTATTAACTTTGAACAACTTCGAATTCAATAACGAGCATTACATTCAGGTTAACGGTACTGCAATGGATACCAAAATGGCTCTCAATTATGCCAAAATGTTTATGGGTCATATTGAAAACTAGCTTTTACAACTGAGCCCTGTAAAATCTCATACATAGAAACGTTACGTAGACGACATATTTTTCATTTGGACAGCCGGTCTTAAATCACTTAAATAATTTATCTCACATGCAAACTCCTTTCACAAAACAATCAAGTTTACCTGTGATTACTCTCCTACTCAGATTAACTTTCTTGATGTCACTGTTTTTCTAAAAGACGGAATTTTACACACTGATATGTACAAAAACAGACAGACCACAATACCTTCACTATAAAAGCTGTCACATCTCTCACACTAAACGAAACATTACCTACAGTCAAGCTCTTAGAATAAAGAAAATATGCTCAGATGATACAGACTACAGAAAACACACCAAGGATCTAAAACAAACCATGTTACAAAGAGGATATAAAGACACCGAAATCGACAGACAAATTGAAAAGGCTAACAACACTCAGAGGAAAAACATCCTAAATCAGAGCAATACTAAACTTTCAAATATAATTCTTATTATTGTTACCTCTCAGTTTAAACTCAGAAACGTTTCACGAATTCTGAAAAAAACATTTTCATCTCCTACAGCTCAACGATCGTCTTAAACAGATATTTCCTGAAGTTCCCGTTGTCTCCTTCCGAAAGAGCAGAACTCTAAAAGATATTCTTGTTCACAGTGAATTACATCCCACCCAAAAATGTTTGTCGTCTATGTAATAAAGACCGTTGTCAAACCTGCAAGTTCATAAAAACAACTGACTCATTTTCTGACAAGCACAATCAAAGAAACTTTAAAATATCCAAAGAAATCACTTGTGAAACAAACAAAACACCGTTTACTTTTTACAGTGTAAAAAATGCAATTACCAATATGTAGGACATACACAAACAAGTCTTAGAGAACGTTTCAATAACCATAAATCTTATATTAACACCGAAAAAGATCTCCTTCTTGCTCAACACTTTAACCAACCCGGTCATTCCATTAACGATGTTACTCTCATCGGTATTGAAACAGGATTCAAAACTAAAGCAGATAGAGAAATAAAAGAAGCTAATTGGATTGCTAATCTAAACACTGTTCAACCTTTCGGAATTAATCGAGATCCTGGAATCAGTGATCTCCGCTCATTGGTTTCATCTCTCTCAGAAAAATATTTTTTATTCTTTACTTATTTTTTCATGTAATATGAACGCTGAATATCTTAAAACTTACTATTTATTTAAGGTAATTTTCCATACTTGTTATTATAAATTGATTAGCATAACATATCATTTTCAATCAGTCTCCAGGTGTCACCTTTATTTTACTTAAACACCTATGTATAGTTTTGAATATACATATATTTATCCATTTCTAAAGTAAAATATCCCTAACACCTATTCACACACACTCTCTCCATTGGCTACACTGTACCGGAAATGGGATCCTTACAACAGTACACAGAGAAATAGACTAAGCATTTCCTCGAAAACCGGATGACCTTCACGACGTCATTAAACTCCCTTTATATATATATATATCATTCATTCGATTACACACCAATTCCCAGTTTCCCCTGAAGAAGAAGGGTCCACCTTTCGAAAGCGTTCAGGTTATAGGTATTTTATTTATTTCTATCCAGACTTCTTGAACCTACGTGTTTTTCTAACATCATGAATGTTTATAAATTATATTTAACGTCATAAAAATGTGCTATGTGTTAAAATGTTTGTCTTATAGTATGAAAATATCAACAGATTCACGAACCTGATGAACTATACGTGATGATAAGATTGCACCACTGAACTGTACTGATGATGTAGTTAGAGATGTATACAGAGGAATTTTCGACGTACTTTTTTCGCTCAAATTTCAAAGGATTAATTTCTATAAATTCTTACTCTAATAAAGAAAAGCTTTAACAATACCCTTGTTTGTCACCACAATTTTATTATATAAGAAATAAGATTGAACATCATTGATTTGGAAAGAGAAACATTAATAACAAACATGGTAGTGTTTGTAAAGTTTTGTAAAATAAGTATTCTATATCTTCAGTGCTTAAGTAATATATTTTCAGTTGTTAGTACTTTTCGTGAATGAAGATAAATTAAGTAATATATTTTCAATTATTATTATTTTTCGTGAATGAAGATAAATTAGAAATGTAAACTGTCCAATATAAGCCATTAAGCTTACCGCTGAAACATCTTGAGACCCCTTAAATAGAGCAACCAAATTTTTTATTCTTGATAATAATGTGATCACACATTTTGGTGTCTTGAAATGTATTTTACTGTTTTAATTTCTTTCAGAGGAGTCATTATATTGTATTACAATTGAAAATAAGAAAATTATATTTCACGAGGATAATGTCCAACAAGGGACTCTAATATCCTGAAATAACATTTTTTTGTATATTATTATAACTTTCTTAAACAAGCTTTCGACAAGAAACGATTTATTTATTAAATCTCTAGTTTTCCCATCACAACATACATTGATGATAACACTCATAATAAGAAGCCTTATAAATAGAAAAATGATGACGACACTTTGTTCTTTTGCAAAACTCAAAGGTTGTGTGGTTGTTCGTTAGAGGTCCTTGGTTCCTGTCCCTGATGACACAACTTATTCACAATCAACCAAAGTCTCTTCGAATTTCACGTGAAGCAAGTGATGAACGCTGATAAAGAAATGAACACACACCTTAACCAAATCACTTGAGGTGTAAATTTGTGTTTATGAATTACAGCTTTTATATGTAACAAATATTTCATATTCACTCCAAAATCTACTTTAATAAATCTAACTAGTAAGTATCTAAATGATTTTAAGATTGTACACATTATTCCAGTACAATGTACAGCTATGTTGAGTGCTAAGGCTTCTAATTTCGAAATGTACTTCTATTATACGCATATTGTCAAATCATAAATATTTATGCTTAAAACAACAACGTGATGATATGATAATGACTTTTCCAAGTGAATGATTTCGTGTTTTCACTGAATCTTCAATAAATTGAGTTAAATTTATATTATTATTCTATAAGTCCAAAATATTTCAAAATAATTATGAAATAGCTGTTTTAAATATTTTATAAAAGTTAATCATGTACTTTTCTGTATTTTGTAAGAAAAGTATGACCATAATTTGTATCATCTCAGTGGGGTTGTTGTTGTTTATCTTAGAAGAAAGCCACAATGGACTATCTGCTGTATCCATCGCGGGGAATCAAACCCCGGATTATAAAGTCGCAAGTCCGCACACTTACCGCTGTTCCACAGGGAGACCTCAATAGAGAGCCGAATAGATGTCACACGTGAAGTGTTAATAAAGCAGAAAACCTATAAAACGTCCAATCATAGTTATGTTTCAGTTAATATAAATCAGCATTTAGAATATCTGAAGTATAAAAACATCTGTTTCTTTGTTTCAGGAAATCATCAAAGAAAAAATCGAAATGAAAGGTAAATAGCAAACTTATATTGTTTAATAATTCGATTTAAATTATTTTATCCAGAAAATATAACATGTTTCAAAATGCATTACTATTTAGCCCACATAAATACGGTGTATAAGATGCTCTGGTGTGTGTAACAACGATGTGTAAGATACTCTGGTGTGTGTAACAACGAGGTGTAACATGCTCTGGTGTATTTAACTAGAGTGCGCATGCTTTTATAAGTCAAGAAATGAAATTTTAGTGTTAATTTATTTTTGTTTGTTTTGTCCTTGGATTTTTGTCTGACAAAATGCATCAATATATGCAAAGCTTATTGACTTAAGTATAAGGGATGTGTGAAATATATCACATTATCTTAGTAAAATACACGCAATTAAACATTCCTACACCCATTACTACTCAAAGCTTAATATATAGCTTAATTTTGTTTGCTTCAAACTTTGGCTAATGCTTTCGACCTTTCATTCATTTGTTGTTAAAATAATATCGAAATGGAACCAATTAAGATTTTCGATTTTGAGTTCAAATGCCCTTTCTACTCTAAAACAAAAGGGACTCCTCAATAGCCGCGGCTATAATTAGATCTGAAATCGATCAAGAGATGGAGCTATGAGCTAAAAACAAAACTCAGAGCCATTCTATCACCAGCTATGCCGCGGATAAAAATAGACAGTCATTATTTTAATGCATTCATTTGTCCGAAATAACACTATAAAGTTAGTAAGCCAACTTTAGGTTTAACTTTCTTACATTGTGCGGCTATATAATGTGAAGAACTGAATAGTGGCCAATGACGCTCTTTCTTCATTTCACCTCTTCAACGTATAGGTTTTTCTCACAGTGATTAGTGACTACAAAACACGTTCACACCGACTTTACGTTTGATCTTCTTACAGTGTTTGCCAGTAAGAAATTCCAAAATGTAAAACTTTTAATATCGACTTTATCATTTTTATTTCTATTATGAAAGCAATACTTACTTTTTAGTGCACAATTTCTCTATGTTGGTTCAAACTCATCAACACGCTTGCAAACCATTATAACTTCTATTAACAAACTTGTTAATTTTTATCTTCCTTAGTCCATCCAAAATTTTGAACAAGAAATATTTGCTAAACTATAAATCGACAATTCATATAATATTTAATATATTACTGTTCGAATAAAAGTTGAACATTTTCTAGCTTTCATCTCCACCTTAGGAAAGAAACTGTATCAGAAAAATATGACGAGCCAGAAGAAAAGTTAGAAGTATTAGCCACAAGAAAAAAATGTCCAGATATTATACCAGGTCAGTTAGGAATATAAGATACGACAAAGTAACAAGAAATAGATCTTTTTCAAACATTCTAATTTACGTACTATATAAATATATATAGTGTTACTAAATATTTTTCAATTATTTTAAGTCGTCTTAAATTAACCAAATTTGTTAACAATATTTTTGCAACAACCAAAAAAGTTTTTATTTAACATTAACATATTTAACATAAACACGTATATAATCATTTTCTTAATAATAACATCAGAAGAGGTGTCCATAATGAAAACCTTTCAGCAATAATGAAAACATGTTTATATTAATGTTGCGTTGCGAAATAAAGCAGTTTGAAAATAAAATTTTTAAAGATATATGTTTATATATTTCAGATTACTATACACGTAATTGAATCATAGAAGAAAAGTGTAAAGAGAAATGTTTAAATTACTTGCTTCAGCATAATCTTTCAATTGATAAATTAAATAATTTACAGAGTATAAGTACGTTATATTTAAACAATTTTGGAGCTACACCACGTCTTAATAGTTCGTATCGCAAAGTCCGGACATGCTCTATATGACAACGGTGCATCTTGATAATGTCACTGCAGCGTAGTATCTACTGGAAAAGGCTTTTACATAAGGCTGTCATGTCCAAACCATACATCTCTTATCTCTGTATGTTTCTTTTTTTTCAACACCTATCTAGTGTAAAAGGAGGAAAGTTGCTCTGCACCAATTTCGACAATCTGATTCCATAAAAATTTGTAGGTTCTGCGTCCGGCGACTTGAGTGCTATGTCTTCTTGTCAATTAGCATGAATGATATTTTTCTTTTGCATCTGTATGAGATATATGGCGGTTGAATGGATATGTTTTAGAAGCAGCTTGTCTACACGTGACTTGCGTCACTTTTTCAGACAAATAGTATTCTTGATTATGTTGCTTAATGTTGCCTGGGCTATATAGACGGCTTTTTCCATTGACCATTGGTTTTGTAGATCTTACCTGTTCCAAGACGCTGTTCTTTGCCTACCACCGTTAAGTATGACTTGTTGTAGGTCTTTCTTTTAGATGGTCGTGGGTTCCCAAGTTCATCTATATTCCTTTGTTTCCGATTTCATTGTCTTGTAATTTCTAAATCTTCAATCTGAACTAATTTCTACGATCTAAGTGAAATAACACTTTGCATCAGATAGGGATGATACATGCCTTTCCAAAAAACATTTAATATCCGATGATTGCTCCGCAACGCCAAACTATGAAGAACATTTCATATTGATATGTGTTGTTCCACTGCAACTTCGTACCAGCTGTGGTTCTTATGTGGCTTGCTGATTTTCATATTGAAAGTTGTTTTAATATAACGTAATCAACCTTTTGTATAAAATAGGAAATGTACACAAAATCTTAGACCACAGCAAAAACAAACTCGGCATTGTTGCTTGTAGGGATTTAACAGACAAATTAGTATACAAACTTAACAAAAAAGCTAGTCAAAACTAAGCATTTTGTTCGCTATTCTAATCAATTTTAAAACTTGTGGTTATGTAAAATTAACTAAATGCCTATAGTCATAAATTACATTCTTTGTTGATATTTTACAGGTGTTGCAATAGGGGGAAATCATGTAACATGTTCGAATACTTACGACGATTTCAAAGAAGATTACGACCCCCCAGCAGGTGACTTGTGGACAGCAAATAAACAATTAGCTGATAACCAAAGACTCGAAATGGTAATATTATATGATGTTAGAAACACATAATACTATTCGATTTTAATTTATTTTTCTTTTCACCTTGACAAACTTCATGCATGTCATAACGTTTAAACTTTATCACAACGAATCAACTTGCAAAAAGTTAACGCCTCTCAGGTACTCCAAAACGTTTGTTTAATTGCAGAATAACCGAAAATCAACTGCGGCATATTACTACTAGAGTAGAGTTTCTCAGATCTTACACATATCAGATTATTATTCAAAATTGCCTTTTAACAGTGCAATATTTTTTCTTTCATGTATTAGTAGCCATGTTTGTGTAGCATTAACGAAGTGTGGGTTAGTTTTCCCACATGTCAATAATAATCCTAAACAATCCATATGAAGCAGAAAATAATTTTGTTGGATAAAATTAAAAAAATATTTTTCATAAAAAAACATAAACATTTCGATAGATGAGAAAACGTTTTTTTTTGTTTGGTTTTGAATTTCGTGCAAAGCCACACGAGGGCTATCTGTGCTAGCCGCCCCTAATTTAGCAGTGTAAGGCTAGAGGGAAGACCACCCAACGCCAACTCTTGGGCTACTCTTTTACCAACGAATAGTGGGATTGACCGTCACATTATAACGCCCCCACGGCTGAAAGGGCAAGCATGTTGGGCGAGCATGTCCCGGGGATTCGAGCCTCAGAGTCGAGCGCCCTAACCACCTGGTCATGCCGGGCCTGAGAAATTTGACATCCAACAATCATATCATTATAGTGAAACATTGTTCAACAATGTATTTCTCTCCCCTTAAATATTACTTAAAATTATAGTTTTCAGAATTTACCAAATATAAACAAGCACGTCTATTAGTTTGTTTGTTTTTGGTTCGGGATTGTGTACAGTTCTTTTGTCTTTTGTTCTTGGAGAAGGTACAGAGCTTTTTGCTTTGTACGTAGTTTACAAGTACAACATATGAAAATATCATCGTAGTTTAGAAGTAAAAAAATGCTATAAATAGGAAAATATCACCGTAGTTTAGAAGTAAAAAAATGCTATAAATAGGAAAATATCACCGTAGTTTAGAAGTAAAGAATGTTTTAAATAGGAAAATATCACCGTAGTTTACAAGTAAAGAATGTTTTAAATATGAAAACATAATCGCAGTTTACAAGTAAAAAATTCTCTAAATATGAAAACATAATCGCAGTTTACATATAAAAAATGACCTAATTATGAAACTGTCATCGTAGCTTACAAGTAAAAAATACTCTAAATACGAAAATATCATGTTTTTTTCTCCTTCCCGAACTAGGCACCATTATCAACACATTCTCAACTAAAACACGATGAGAAGGAATATATTGAAGCGCAAAGTTGTTGGTCCTCATCCCACCCACAAAAAAGAGGTGTTCGTGTCCTTCCTACTCCACCAGTTCATACGTTTGTCTATGACACTGGCCAACCTGATCTTCCTTTACTCTCTCCCCGACAAACGGACGTCTGAGGAACTCCCGTCCAAAGTCGAGCACACAAATCCATCGGTATGTGGTCTTATCGGTCTGTATGTTGTTATTCTATTAACAGTAAGAGTTGCGTAGCAATGAATGTCTGCAGACCGAGGCGATAACCTTCCTTAAAACTGGCCCAATGTGGAGCATTTACGACAAATATTCAATAAAGTTTGTTGTTAATTTGCTGGCTTTACTGTACAAACCGACAATGACATTGCAACCATATTTATTTAAATGAGTAAGAAGTTGATATTTCTATTTATCCAGGCTTGTGATAGAACACGCATTCATTCAGAACGTCTTGAGCAATTTATACTACAATATTGTGGTCATATTGTGTATATTGTGTCTTTCTTTGAAGTATTTATGAAGTGCTGTCTGTGACATACTTATATGGTGATATTCTAGAAACACTCACTGTTAACGACTGATTCAAGATATATATATATATCTGTTTCCTTTGTTGTAGCAAATTGTATTTTAAGAGTATTTCTGCAAGGTTTCTGCAGGCGTCACACAAACGACTGTATATATCTGATCAACGTATATAGCACATTTGTGCATGTGAATTGGACGTAAAACTGCAGTAAAACTCATGACAGTACAGTACATTTAGCTTAATCATCCTCTCGTCTGTAGCAGTTTTAAAACTCAGAATTTTTAAATCACATATAGTTTTGAATAAGATAACAGGTCAATAATATTCCCCAGCAAGCGGAAGGATGGAAATTCGTAAACTTAGAAGAACGTTTAAAAGATATAAAAGCTTTGCACACACAAAATATTAAGATAGCCCAACCATCTATGGGAATACTAACTATAGCCAATCCAAATCCTCAAATCTCAGAAGAAAGGACTACCATTAATGGACTACTTTAAGCGAGTAAATGGACGTATCTTTGACGAGAATGCTGGATAGAAACCTTGCAGTTTACTAGTGAAGTGTTTTTTTTTCCTATATAGAGCAATGACGTTTGTGATAGTATGTCTTCATATCGATTTTCTAGTCTACAGCTTTAGTATAAAGTATATTTTAGTTTTCACGATATATTTGTTTCTTCTGAGTTTCCATAACAATTTAAACAACCTTTAAGAACTTCTGAGATATTAACAAAAGTCGTTTTTCAAGAATTGTTTGCTTTATGCTTTATTTGTTTCTGGAAAAGTCATTTTTATTATTCCTGTTTTAATAAAGTACATTCTATTTAATATATATTGTTTTGTGCATTTTTTATGAAGTGTTTTACTTAGTTTAAGAAATATGTCAACACACAAGGATCTTTTAAAACGTTTTTATGTTACGAACGGTATTCGAGAAAGGATAATACTAATTAATCTTGATAAAAGAGTTAACACAAAGGATCACATATAAAGTGTAATAAACTTAAAATAAGACCCAAAACTCTAGCGCTTTCGAATAGTTGACTATTCTTCTTCAGGAGAACAAAGAAGAATTAATTAACCACATACACATAAACATAAATATCACAAAATCAGTGAGTCTTCAAATACCTTTTTTATTTTTAATATTTATTTGTTGCTAGTTTCATATATGTTTCCAATACTTTGATAGTTTAGACTTTGAATATTTTTTGCTCTCATCGTTTTAGATGTAAAAATACCGATGTTCTTTGATAGGACTGAAGAATAGTACTTATTAGCCAGGAAACGTATGCCAGCCAAAAGCATAAGCGACTAAGTGAAATGACTTTTAAAGACCCAATGACTGTTTTTTTATTTTTTTATTATGATTTGTTCGGTCAATTCTGTATACCCTACTAAAAATAATTATCTTAATATCCAGAAAAGCCAAAACTATCTGAAGTCAAATCAAATGATAATTATTATGGTATGTAAAAGATAACACGACTTTAAATGATCATGCAACGTTGAAAAAAAATGCTTGAAACAAAATACATGAAATAAAGATAGCATATAGACACCAAAAAATAAATGAGAATGACATATTAAATACAACTATAATTATCTAATGTATCAAATATACAAACATGTACACTATTTCTGATTTATTACTACTGTTTTTTTTTCTTTCGGTTTCTATTATATCACTTCTATAATATTATTTTTGTTTTTAGTTACCCTATTTCTGTGTCGTGTATTATTAAATGTATAAAAACCATTCTATTTATTAAGTTTTGTGTCAATAAAAGATTAATACTATTGCAGCGGGTCGTTGACATATTGAAGTCCCTCGTTGGGTCAGCGGTAAATTTACGGGTTTGCAACTCTAAACTCTGGAGTTCGATTACCTGTCGTGGACAAAGCGCAGATAGCTCGTTGTGTAGCTTTGAGCCATTTCTTTATTTTTGATTGTTTTTCCAGAGCAAAGTCACATTGGGTTATTTGCCGTGTCCATCGCGGGGAATCGAATCCCGGATTTTAGCGTTGTAAGTTGGTAGACTTACAGCTGTCCAACCGGGGAAAAGCTTTGAGCGAAAAAAACAACAATATATTAGAACTAAATAAATCATCATGTGCTCTGTACTTCCTTTACGATGACGAAATAAGAATAGGAGTTGCTAAGTTTTTCATGAGTCTTCACTAACACACCTGCATTTGTGAACTTCTCTTCAATAGTGTATTTAATGTGGTAAATCTAAAAGAAGGGCTGAACAGTTTTCATACGTGCATAAATATACAGAGTAGGAGACTGAGAGATGATTCCTTTTCTCAGGCTTACTTTGCTTTGAAAGAACATAAATTTTAAAATTTATTTATTTGGTTTGAAATAAAAATAGGATACCCTTTTTATCGTTTATATTTATACCCCAGATATCAGCACAAGACGTTAGAAAATGAATACAGTATTTTTCAAAATGAAGATACAATTATAAAGTTTACACATCTAACTGTAGTACTATTTGTTTGCAGCTTGGAAACAAATATACATAAAATATCTTATTAACATTTTATTAATATAGCTATTCAGGTAGTAGACATAAAATCTGTTATCAACATTTTATTAATATAGCTATTCTGAAAGTAGACATAAAATCTGTTATCAACATTTTATTGATATAGCTATTCTGAAAGTAGACATAAAATCTGTTATCAACATTTTATTGATATAGCTATTCTGGTAGTAGACATAAAATCTGTTATCAACATTTTATTGATATAGCTATTCAGGTAGTAGACATAAAATCTGTTATCAACATTTTATTAATACCGCTATTCTGGTAGTAGACATAAAATCTGTTATCAACATTTTATTGATATAGCTATTCAGGTAGTAGACATAAAATCTGTTATCAACATTTTATTAATATAGCTATTCGGGTAGTAGACATAAAATTTTCTTAAGGTTTTATTTTTTTAAGTAACGTAAGAAATGATAGCTTTCATATTTTTAGAAGATATAATGCATATTATATGCATACACAAACATAATATGGAATAAAATACATTTATCATAAATGATATAATATCCTGTAGTGTTCCTGGCTATCAGTTACTTACCTTGAAGCAGAATAAATTCAATCATATATATATATGCATTCTTTTACTGTAATAAAAGTATTGGAAGTTTCACAAAAATCTGCCATTTGACTAAATAAACTATTATAGGAATGTTGTTATAGCCTTAAAATTAACGCATGCATTGTTTAATGGAGACTTTTGTGTCATTTACCGAAATATTCGATTTTAGCATTCACTTGTCGGATTATAATTCAGACTTGTGATACATTTAAATGTTGCCCTCCAATTTGTAACTTCTAAAACAACATTCCATTTACTTTTCTTCACGTGGAACTTCTTCAGAAGATCAAGATTTTGATTGTTTTTGCTCCCAGGAACTTTTTTCTTTTCTACAGCTTTTGTTAGATGTTGGGATTCCGGTTCAACTTCAAAAGAAACGTGACACTGGGTTCCACACACACAATCATTTGATCGATATCAAGACGACAACAAGCTAGAAAGATCGAACTTCTTTATATCCATTTGTACCTTAAATAAACCTGTCTGTTCTTAGTTGGAGTAATCACTTAACGTTGGGAATAAAAAAATATATAACACGACAATTCACTTTCTTGGAGGAAATGTCTTATATTTCCGTTTTTTGGAGCTTTATCTTTTTTATTGTTTTTGGACCTTCTCGTTCCAATTATCATTGGTCGTCTAATTTCTAATGAAAAGCTGCTCCTGCTTGACATCAGGTATAAGAGCACAATCTTTCTGCCATAGCATTAAATATAAAGTTATTTTGAACATACATTGGCCATCTACTTGATATGTATTCTTACAATAATTTTATCCTGTTGTAACTACTTATACATATATATATTGTTTCAACATATTTTCAAAAATTAGCTAAAATATTTGTTTCAGAGAACGTTTATGAACACAAACGTACAAGGAAAGTAGCCCAGAAAGAAATATCAGATTATTAGTTATGTTGTTTGTAATAATTCTAGAAATAAAGCATGTTATGTTTTAAAATATTATTTGTACATAATTTTAAATTAGCGTTGAGCTAATTCATGTGTTCGACATATACTGATAACACGAATGGAATCGTGTACGTATATATATAATTTTAAATAAACGTTGAGCTAATTCATGTGTTCGACATATTCTGAAAACACGAATGGAATCGTGTACGTATATACATAATTTAAAAATAGCGTTGAGCTAATTCATGTGTTCGACATATTCTGAAAACACGAATGGAATCGTGTACGTATATACATAATTTTAAATTAGCGTTAAGCTAATTCATGTGTTCGACATATACTGATAACACGAATGGAATCATGTACGTATATACATAATTTTAGATTAGCGTTGAGCTAATTCATGTGTTCGACATATACTGATAACACGAATGGAATCGTGTACGTATATATATATAATTTTAAATAAACGTTGAGCTAATTCATGTGTTCGACATATACTGATAACACGAATGGAATCGTGTACGTATATACATAATTTTAGATTAGCGTTGAGCTAATTCATGTGTTCGACATATACTGATAACACGAATGGAATCGTGTACGTATATACATAATTTTAATATACAAACTGCCACCATTTGGCAAAGAAAATTATTCCAGGAATATTATTCCAGTCTGAAAATTACATCATGTATTATTTTAGTACATATATTTGTGCCATTTATTCGATTTTGGTATTCAGTGTCGTATTTTTATTTAAGCCTGTTATGTATTTCAATGTATGCCTCCCATTTGTAATTAAAATTCTATACAAAATCACGCCAAAACTGCATTTACCTTTATTCACAAAATACTGTTCCAGAAAATATAGATATTTTTGTTTTTTTTCAGCAACCTTTTTTCTTTGCTTTGCTTTTATTGGATGTTGACATTTTGTTTTAGCTTCTAAACAAACGTGACACTGCCTTTCACACACAATTAATTGGTCGATGGCAAAACGACAACAAGTCAGGAAGATGGAACTTTTTTTTTATCCTTCGTATCTTAAATAAACCTGTCTATTTTCAGTTGGAGCAACGAATTAGCATTTGCCTTTTTTGACAAAGGACAAGGATTAATATTTTATAAATACAGCTCATTATCGTGCTAAGTTGTAGCAAACACAACATCGATATCTTCCTTTTTTTCCACCTTAGGATGAACATAGTTCAATGTATTCGAGGTTACGCAGTTTTAATTTTGTTACCGAAAAAAAAAGAAAGAAAAAATCGCGCTCCATATTTTGTGACCGAAGATACGTTATGAGAATGTTTGTCAAATCCCACTATTCGTTTAGACTTCGGAAACAATATGTACATAGAAAACGAAAACTGTAATAACCCGTCCTTCGAGTATTAATAATTTATCTTCTTATTTAATGTTATCCTTGATTATCCTGCATATAGGCAGTGGTCCGTATATTTAGTTGTCGTTTTTTTTATTCTCTCGAAGCTTTCAATGCAAGGTCGGTAAAAAGTGTTTTACAAAAATAGTTGATATACATCACCATAAATCTCACGAAGACTTTCGGCTGTTGTATTCCTTGTTAAAGTAATATATGAACAGAGTAAGTTAAACCCTGCAAAATAAAGAGTTCGACGATTTGACAAGTAGGCCTAACGATGATTAGAAAATCAACGATAAAGAGGCGCAACA